TGTTACAACTTCAAATTGTTATTATAAAATTATTATTATTATTATTTAACGATAAATAAAAATATATCGATTCACGAAAGTACATTAGGTAAGTGCACGTTGGGGGGGTAGGGGAGGGGCAAAAACTTTTGTAAATATGATTAAAATGTACTAGGGTAAATGTTTACTTATATAACCAATCAATCAATCAATCAATAAATCAATCGATATTATTGTACTGACATATAAACCAAATGTTTTTCATAGTTTCACGTGTAATAATAATAATAACAATTTTATTATTATTATTATTAAAGCGATTTGATTATATATATAAATTTTTTAAATGAGATTTTTCTTTACCATCAAAGTCTTTAGTAAAGAATAATTTAAGGCACGTTTAAGAAAATTCTCAAACCTGATAATAGCTTTTTTCAGGTACATTAATTATGTGATAATAAATAATAATAATAATTATAAATAAAAATTATACTACATAATATTTTTAATGAATGTACAAATACAAAAAAAAAGTAAATAAATCGTTAGTGTATAAAGTAAGTGAATTCGAATGTGTGTGTGAGAGAGAGAGAGAGTAACATTATTAGCTATTGAAAGAAATAATACATATATTTGTGTAAATTGAATATTAGCATTCTTGAAATATTATTGAAAAGTTCACACACACACACACACACAAAAAAAAAATATATAAACAAGGTATAAGGTATGTGATATTGTTCGATTAGTTTGATATTATAAAGAGTAAGTCAACCTTTTTATTGTCTCTCTCTCTCTCTCTGTATTTTTTAAATAATGTCAAATGTTTATGTCGTATCACTAATAAACGAAAAAAAAAAAAAAAAAAAAAAAGAAATTACATAACAGAAATGATAAAATTTGCAACTTCATCTTATCGCTGCCTGCTATAATTTTGATATCGCAATTAAAACTTTGCCTATTAAAACAAGTGCTTATTAAAACAAAAATTACATAAATCATTGCTTACAGTGTCTTTTTTTTTTTTTTTTTATAATTATTTTTTTTTTGTTCCATTATCAGTTGTTTTGTTTTTCCATTATTTTATCATTAACGTTATTCGCGTCGAAAACAAATTTTAAATCAAAGTGTTTAAAGTGTACATATATATAAATGTTAATTTTAAGTTGAATCACATTCAATTTGAGTTTTTAAAAAAAAAAAAATTTTTTTTTTTTGTATGTGATTAATTATAAATCACCAAAAGTCATAATACTATATATTATACTATATACTATATATATATATAGAATTATAAATATGTGCAAAGGAATGAAAATATAATGGGTTATATAAAAATAAGTAATTGAAAATTAACAAGCAAGTTTCAATATACTAACAATTCTTAAAATGTTATTTATTAATAATAATAATTATGTTTTTTTAGCTTATGAAAACTCATAACTTATTATATATAATCAAAATTTTTATGATTCATCTTAAAAAAGTTGCCATTTGATTGTGATTAAAATAATTAAAAATTATTTTATATGAGTTTATATCTGATTTGTGTGTTTGTCAAGTCAGTCATTGAACTAATTTTTTTAGTTTTTATATATTATTTTGTGAGTTTTATTTTTATTCAGTTAAGAAATACTGTTTTACATCATATAGTTAGTTATGGTTATGTGTTAGTTATGTTAGTTATTCAGAATCTTTGATTGTAAAAAAATATCCCCTTTTTTCTATCTATTGGCTAATGGGTTTTAACATGGTTTCTTATTTCCTACATTATCCGATCAAATATAAGAAAAAAAGTAGGAAAATTGATTTCAATAAATAAGTTTTTTAAAAGATTAATAATATACATACGTACATACATACATACATATATGAAAAATTTAAAAATGGTTAAATAAAGTTTCATTGTCTCTCTGTAGGAATTCATACATTATACAAAGTTAAATAATTTTAAAAAAATTACACCTCATAATCAATAATAAATAACTTACTTACAATTTTTATATTTTCACATTGATTCGAGATGAAAATCTTAACAAAATAACAACTTAAATTTTTTCTACAAGTAAAATATTTCACTAACACAAACTAATTTCATTCTTTCTTAATGTAAAATTCGTGAGTGCGCCATTAACCGGTTTTTTAGAAACGTCTGCTGGGATTTTCCTAAAACCACGACAATTTCAAAATTTTGAAATTTTTTTTGTTTACATTCCCTTATTTCAAAATTATTCCTACTATTTAATAAATTTATTTTAATTTTATGTTCGATAATTAAATTAATTAATTAATAAAAAGTAATTATTTAAAATAAATTATTTTTTATTAATTAAAAATATTTTAAAATTTTGTTTTTTATTCTTTTTTTACGTGAACTTGATATATAAAGTTGGTTAGAAAGAGACA